TTCATAATTCAAGCAAGTTATTAAAAAGTAGCATTGTTTGCTAAAAGAGTAGGTTTTTTTTTTTTTTTCCCAACACAAGAAGAATAAATTCAGGAGTTGCAAGTCAAATTTGATCTTGGGTTAGTGGTTCTTTCCCTCTCTGTTATTGTAGGTGACTTGAATTTTTGAAAGTATTTAGTCCATGTTGTAGGCCTGTGACCACAGCTAAATTAAATGTATGTTTACATTCTGGCATTGTTGAACTAGGACCTTGTTTGTTCTGTCTTGTGTGGGTATGGGTGTGCCTGGCTTCCCTGGTGAGGAACATTTATGTAAATCCATTTTTTTTTTTTTTTTTAGAAGTAAGAATAGAAAAACAACAAACAGAACATAAAGAAAATTATGTGGTTTAAAAAAATTCTATAATTTTTTTTAAGTGCATAATTGCCCTTTGTATGTATTTTAAACTTCATCCTGGGTTTTTAAAATCTTTATTTTGTGTTAGCTTAGGTATCTGTAATATACAAGATTAGCTATAACAGGTTATTGAGAGGACCAAAATATGATCAGTAGAGAAACTTGCCCCACTTCTAGTAACACAATTTATCATTGATAAACAGATGATAAAATATTTAGAGAATAAAGGAATGAATTATTTGTTTTATCTTGAAGACATACTCTTATCTCTGAAATTTAATTTTGATCTATTAATAATAACAGATAGAAATGATTTTTCTCTCTCCCTAGAAACTGCTTTTCTATTAATCTGTCTTCCTTAGAGCTAATTACAAAATTTTTTTTTCCATTGAAGGCCAACTGTGATTTGAGACGGCAGATTGATGAACAGCAAAAGATGCTAGAGAAATACAAGGAACGATTAAATAGATGTGTGACAATGAGCAAGAAACTCCTTATAGAAAAGGTCAGTGAGTAACGGTGGCCTGAACTCTGTATCCCAAGATGCTTGATGTATGTCATTGTGTGGCTTCTTTTTTTTTTTTACCTGAGATTAAAATATTTTTTAAAAGGGATTTTTAGAAAAAGACTTCTCATGATTTGACAATTAGGATTTTTTTCCTTGCACAGACACCAGACCAAACATCTAGAGTGATAATTTGGGACATGCTTTCTGGCTGTGCGTTACTTTTGAGTATAATGTTGAACAGGAACAGCTTGTCCTAGATGAGTTTATTTGGGGTATTGCTCTCCTAAATTTCTGTATTCATCCTATGAATCGAAGTGAGTATCCTATTAGTATTACAAACATTGAACAAGAGTTACACGTCTGTTTCAGAGATGGTATTTGGAATAACTTACGTATCAAATAATTGGAAAATTAAGACATTGACTGCCACACTAGATAAAGAATTTTTTTCTTGGGTCCATGGTGTTTTATTACGAAAATAGAATAAAAACTTTAAAAACAGAATGATCCTTTGAATTTAAAGAAAAATTTGTTATTTTTTATTATTTTCTGTACGTGAGTTACATGCAACTTGCAAAATAGTTCTCATGGCTCCCAAGGTGGAGAGACGTGTGAGTTACATATGCTTCACAAGGCCCCACACTCAAAACTAGCGGGAGTTAAATGCAACTTGCATGGCAGTTAATGTGTGAAGTGTTTTATGCTTTAAAAAAAACGAAGTTGTCATATACCTCTACATGATTACTTTATTTGGCTGATTGCCTTTAAACTTAATTGTTATTAGTAGGCTGGGTGTGGCGGCTGACGCCTATAATCTTAGCACTCTGGGAGGCTGAGGTGGGAAGATCGCTTGAGCTCAGGAATTCAAGTCCAGCCTGAGCAAGAGTGAGGCAACCCATTAAAAATGAACAAAAGACTTGAACAGGCCAGGTGAGATGGCTCAAGCCTGTAATCCTAGCACTTTGGGAGGCAAAGGTGGGAGGATCACTTGAGATCAGCAGTTCAAGACCAGCCTGAGCAGGAGCGAGACCCTGTCTCTAGTAAAAATAGAAAAAATTAGCTGGGGCCTGGTGGTGAGCACCTGTAGGCCCAGCTGCGTGGAAGGCTGAGGCACAAGTATCACTCGAGTCTAAGAGTCT